TCTATGAGATGACATTGAGGAACATATGCAACAAGGAATGCAAAAGATGATAGCCTAGATCATGGAGCAAGTATAGAGCCAGATCGCCAAAGTCCTGAGGATCGCCACAGTCCTAGCAAAAAATTGAGCCCCACAAGAGAAAAATAGCCATAGAAGGTGGCGTCGACGCATAATGGAAGGTGATTAAACAACGATTGTGAGGGGGCCAATGACTCATAGTATTAAGACAGGACGGGATCTGCAAAGGTGGAGAGGCAACGGTTAGGGTGTACAAAGGCACCGTTTCAACCGAAGAATCCTTTCTCCCTTCAAATATTTGGATTGGAGCCCCCAGAAAAATTGAAATTTTTGGCTTTAGAGGCTTACAAGGTGGCGTCCGTACCCCATTGACCATATAGATGCATTTGAGTCGATCGTGTGCTTACTCAAAATCTCAGACACTTTAGTGTGTCGTACGTTTTTCACCACTTTGAGGTTGTCAGTCTTGAAGTGGTTCTAGCTATTAGCATCAGTAACTTTGCTGATTTCAGGAGTTCTTCTTGGCACAATTCACCAGTGCCCGAAAACCCACCAAGTGCATGCAGTCCTTGTGTTAATTCCAAGTAAGGTTAGCACGAGAGCTTGTTGCTTCTAAAGAGAAATGTTGAAGGTGAAAGACCTTAAAGTTGCGAGTCAATAGCCTTTTTAAGGCAAGGCTTAGGTTCCAAGAGGTTTTCATATGACCTCAGCATAAACGTGCCTCAAGGCTTGGTTGAGCTACTGGAAAGAGATAAAAAACACATGATAGCAGAGGAATGTTTCCCCAAGTGAGAATCTGAAGGGCGTTATGCCCAAAAGAAAGCTCCTCCCGTTAGCGGATCGAAGCCAAGGGAGGAACACAGGCCACCAGCTCGACGTCGAATCAAAGACGTCCAGTCCTCTCACAACAGCAGAGGGACCAGCCGATACAATCAACACGATGGCTAAGCGAGGAACTGTGATCTGCAGCCAGCCCGGTACTATGAGAGGCCAACAAAACATTATAAACAGTCATATGATGATTATGAAGGCTTGCGAGCTACTCCTTTAAGCATGTCAATGGTTGAAATTGTCAACGACATCCAAGACAAGGAATATTTCAAGAAACTTGCACCGATGTGGCAAGAGGCTTTCTTCATAATGCAAGAACGTATTATAAGTATCACTTGGATCATGACCATAACATGTTAGAATGCAGGCACCTCTGAAATCTCATCGGGGAATTGATGAAGGCGGGAAAGCTAAGGAGTTCGTGGCCTAGGGACACTCGGGTCAAAGACATGGAAAAGGTCCAGCATTAGAGGCTCCATCAGGGTTTGTCCGGACGAATGTCGTTTATGTCATCGAGATAGTCCCGCTATTCTTGGAAGAACCAATGCCTCTTGACAGAGCTCTCAAAAGAAGACCAGGACGAACAAGTTTTGCAACCTTGCATCCACGCAAGGAAGAGGAAACTGTCCTCCGATCACGTTCATAGACGACGACCTCCCTCAATAGAGAAACCCCTACAACGAGGGCATGGTTGTTACAAAAATAATCACTAAATTCCAAGTTGAATACCCTATTAGAAATGGTCTCTATAAAAAATAAGATTCCTTCTGAAATCTTTGGTCACCTGATCATCCGAACCAACGACATCCATATGCTTTTCATCGTCAAAGACACGACTGTCCTCAAGCATAGAAGCTTCGTTTGAAGGCATCAAAGATGACCTGGTCACATGGAAGCTTCGTTTGAAGACATCAAAGCCTCGTAGTTGTCCAAATGAAGGTGAGAAGGATGAAAGAAAAAAACCGACTAACAGGTAGAGAGAAAAGAGACTAAAATTACATGAAGACACGACTGTCCTCAAGCAAAGCAGCTTCGTTTGAAGGCATCAAAGATGACCTGGTCAGATGGAACAATTCAAAGTGTTGGAGCGAGTATTGGTTAAGCCATCCAAATGAAGGTGAGAAGGATGAAAGAAAAAACCAACTAACAGGTAGAGAGAAAAGAGACTAAAATTACATGAAAAATCCAACCCTCCGCCCTTACATAGAGTGTGTTAGAGGAATTTGAAGCGTCGTGAGAGCCATATCTCGATTTTGAAAATTCAAGTCACATTAGTACTGATTTTGAGAGAAAATTTTACAACAATAAAATTTTTCAAAAAATAATAAATAATTTTATTCATATGAGAAATATTTTTTAAAGAGGTTGCTCGGTCGACTGAGACAAACCATCGTTGAAGCAACTTCTAATACAAAGCACTCCCTTAAACCTAAACCTATCTACATTATTAACTCGGGCCTAGATTTGTAGAAATGAACAGGTCGCTCGAACATCTGCTAGTTCCGCCCAAAGAGCCGCCAACTCCATCGAGTGCTCCTATCACAAAAACGTCAGTTCTTTCCGGAACTCCTTCATCTCTGTGTTCTGTTGCAAACCGACCAAAGGAGCTCAGTCTAACTCCAAGGGGCAGGCAAACGATGTAGGTGGCCTCTGTCGGTCGTCGGCTTCCATCTTGGAGACCGGTTGGGATGTCGACCTCTTTCCCCATGCTCAACATTTGAGCTGGAGTTTCCTCAGCCACTCCTTGAGTGAGGACTTGGGTTATGTTTTTTAATGGTGAATCAACGACCAAGACCGCCTCATATGCACCAACAAATAAATGATAGTAACATGAATGAAATTTTTCTAATAACCAACGATTGAATCTCGTCATACCAAGGAGTTGATTCATCTTCAACCACCAAAATAAGGGAAAGCTCTCACCAGAAAACGACGGGATGTCGCACTCTTCCTCCCACTGACCGATAGTAGTAATGTAGCCTCCCTTCCTCTGACAGTGGAGCCCAAGCACTTCCCAAAGAAGGTTTTTGGTCGTTTGATCGTGGGTCGCAAAAGGGGTACAATAACTTGTCTCCCTCTTTTTTGTCGAAGAAGTGTCAGCGAGCCAGACGACGGATCTTCCACCTGTTTCGTCTTGTAGGCAAGTTGCTTAACTCGTCTCTCACCCTCGGGTTGGCTCTCCTCTCCCAATCTTTGTTCCAACAATCCCAAAGGTTTTTATCAGTTTTTCCTCGGTAGGGCATCATCTACAGTTTTCTTATCCTCGTCGTGAAGGAACTTATGAAATTGACTGACTGAGAGACACACTGGAAACCAAGTGCAATAATAAAAGTGTCAATCACGCTTTATTTATAAAAGCCATGGTCATGAATATTCAGAGAGTGCAATTATTAAAGTGCTGGTTATGAAAAAAATGAATATATTTTTTTCTATTTAATTATCTTAATATTATCGTAATTATCACTTTCAAGAAGTGAAAGAATCAGGTAACTAAAATATGTACATCTGAAATACATCAGTACAAATATTGAGGAAATCCAACAAACTAAGAGACATAAAATTACGATTAGGAATTGGAGATGGCTCATAGAAGGAAGACCAAATGTCCAATCATAAGAAGATCAAAGACTTGATTGACCAAATACAGATCCTTTGAGTCCGGAGCTAAAACAAGTCAAACAAAGGTTGTTCAGGCCAAAAACCAAGATTTATCAAATCAAGAAAAAGTATATGCCCATCTCTCTGCCCAACATATCTAGTTGCCTCATAAGAGCTCTGAGACTCGTCAGAAGGCCAAACGTTTTACTACGAGGTACTGCACGAACACCCCAAATGACATTTTGTTAAGGGGCGAAGTATTTTTCAGATTATGGTGATTCACCTGTACCCCACATCCTAGTTTCATTATGAATTCGGGAGCTTCTCGTATAGGGGTCATAGTCGACACTGAACCAAAGCAACCGACCGGTTGACTCAAGCCAACCGAGCCAAGTCTGAACAACCAAAGATCAACAGGAGCCGATCGAGAACCCCCAAGTCAACATAAGCAGTCGAACGAACCTTGCCTACCTAAGGCCCGACAATCTTAGTCACCCTAGCGATGAAATAACCGAGTCATTGGCTATTTAATTACCGAAAATACCCTATCACACCTCCATTAAAATAGGGTTAAGCATGGAATTATGTATAATGTACCCCTCTCATAAACAAGGAATCATTTCTACAATAGTCTAAACATTCTGTATTTCTTGGGTATGATTCACAAAATAGATTCATATTCAACACATAAACACACAAACACACACACAAACACACACACAAACACACACACAAACACACACACAAACACACACACAAACACACACACAAACACACACACAAACACACACACAAACACACACA